TAAGGGGGGGCTACCCTATTTATATAGTCATAAATTGATCAAATGGATGACGGTATAACACTGTGTAACCTGCAAGCCTACAGTGCGACTATACCATATGAGGACAACAATTTGCAAGTCGTAGTAGAGCCTAAGTAACAGAACAATTAAAGTGCTCGGTGCTGATTTTTACGTTCGAATTTGCGACATTGGCGGTTGTGCCCATTAACTTTATAGCGTGCGAAAACAATCCTAAAAAAGTGAGGGAGATTCCCTAAACAAAGACCAATTTTACACCATTAGTATGGGGTTAAACAATTTGCACGCAGTTGCAGGGTCTAGGACCTAATGTTAATTAATAAATAAGTGCAGAAAAATATTGATTGCGAATATATCAAGTGAAAAATTAATTGAGTTGCAAAACGTCTTAATATTTGAAATCCCCTCGTTTATATAAGCGTTCAGAAAATGAGACGGCCTATTAATTTCATTTATTAAACCTAGAACAATCAAATCTACAGGAAAACTATAGAAATAATCGGCCTATAATTTAGAAGGCTTCAGTTAAATATATAAAACGGCTAATACACCAACAAAAAAGGTTGTTAAAGAGAACGAGCTTGTGGAAGCAGCTGAATTATCCATAGCTTCTACAGATGGCATGGAGCTTCCCATGTAGCTTGAGGACATCGGCATATTCGAATTTCCAGGAATAGTCATTGTTGAATTACTTGGCATACTTGAATTCGGAGCCATGTGAGAAATATCTTCAGCACTTACTTCTAAGATAGCAGGCCCGAATAAGATAGAAGAATCTGTTAAATTTCCTGACATGTCAGAAGTGATGAATGCGTACGATTGACCCGAGGCTTCTTTTGGGATAGTAGACATGATCATGCCATCAGACATACTAGCCTTAACTGGAAGAACATCTAAACCACTGATGTATGTGACGTAACATTCTGATGGAAGATCACCTTCAACAGTATAGGAAACATTTTTACCAGTCGAAAGCGGCATATTATTAGAGACTGTAAGACCCTTATAAGCCTTAACGGGAAGAGCAGCATTGGAAGATGGACATTTTTTAATGAATCCAGAAGCTATAGTATAGATTGCGTTCAATCCCATGGGGGTTCCGAAGGGATTTGCCATAGGAAGTTCGCCGACAGCGTTACGAGCAGCAGATTGATGGATTGCTTCTGTTGCCAAAATGGAAGCGGCAGCTGTAAGATAATCTTTTGATGCTACAAGCGGACTGGCGCCAATGTAAGCAGAAACACCAACTCCCTCAATCGTGGCAGCAAGTGAAACGAAGTCCTTTACAGAGCTCATAGTAAAATTGTATTCGCATGCTTCTACCGGTTTCAAACCTGCAGCCTTAAGGCCATTTTCAAGGTACATGACATGCGTAGCTTCATCATAAGAAATGTATCTCAATTGGTTATAAAAGTCACTGGTGAACCCCGCTTTAGTGAAATCATCGACCGACCACTTAGAAAGTGCGTCTTTATAGAAAGCATCCTCAAGGTGCTCAAGGGTGAGTGCATATTGTAAGATATCACCGTCCATATTTTCTCTCTTAGTGAGAGTTGCTGGTGATGCCCACGCAGTGGCTGCTAAAAATGGTGCGTATAATATGGAAATTTTCATCTTTAAAATAAGTATGTTCTCAACAATATTCAAGCCCATAAAACCAGGAATTCTAATCCTTTTATAGTCCGATCTGGTAAAAAACATATTAGCAGTGTATGCCTTAGGTGATTATTTTGATTTTCAAGTAAGCTACTGTCGTCACTATATTTTGTATATCCTATTGTCTACGAATTACGAATCCCGCTGAATATAGCAACTACATCACTCAATTAGTATATTAAGTTTAGTGGGGATATGTATGTGGAGTTGTAGTGGACGTATTCGTAAATGGTTTCTTGGTAGAACCTGCTCTTCAATCCTATCAAAGTTGGCACTTCATAAGTTTAATAGTTAATTCAATCCAATAACCAATGAAACGTATGGAAATTTAAGATTACCATGTTGGTTATTATTAATTTAGCATGTTTTAGGTGATTACATCGTCGACACAGCAAAATGTCGTTGGATTAGATGGCTTCGGACTCTTCTGGAGCTAATCGGACATATCTGGAGCTAATCGGACATATCTGGAGCTAATCGGACATATCTGGAGATAATCGGACATATCTGGGGATAATCGGATGCGTAAATATACGCCATAAAATTGATTACTTGCCACATTGGGACTAGTGGACTTCAATGTTACAGTAATTATTATTTGCATGATTCATGACGTCGGAAGTCAGTGATACGAGCCTTTTTCATTCCTACCTAGAGCATACCGATTAAAAGGACAAATTACAATAAGTACCTTTTACTACAGAAAAGGAAATGCCATATCGGGTTTGTTGTGCTGCTTTCTTTTTAAGGAGTATTTGTGGAGTATATAAAATATACTTGGGGAATTTATGCTTTGGGTATTATTATTGCTCACAATTCTGGTAAAATATAGTTGAAAGTGAAAAGGGCTCGCCACAAAAAAGTCCTATTTAATGACGATCCAAACTTTTCTCTCTATATACAGATTACAGTTCGATAGCACGTTTCCAAGTGCAAATTATTAAAGGGTTTATAAGTAGATAACAGCTTTACAATAGTTCAAACGAGGTAGATATTGATAATATTGTTTACATAGCATATTCTTTTGACCTAAAATTTAAATTAGTGGCTTCAGCTTCACAAGATCAATATACTTCCATTTTAATTTTCAGAAGATTCTTCCACAAAGAGGTCAAAAGTTATCTTTAACAAAGACTTGCACTTATTTTTTATTTTACGTGCCAAACGTTTTTTATTTATCTAGATAATAAATTGCAGATGAAAATGCTGAAAAAATAATTCAATGATCTTCTAAACGTGGAAGCTCATCAGCAAATGAGTGAAGGAGAAATAATAAATATCTTAGGTCAATTTTTCTTGCAAGAATTCAAGTAAAGGCTTTTGATCAGAGAAATATAATTTTGTACTCCATGATGTTTGCTTTTATAGAACCTATCTTTAAACTATCCTAATTCAATTCTCAACCTCGCTCAATTAACACAGCTAATATCACCATTCACCTTATTACAACATTATTGTCTCATTCTTCAACTCTAATTTTCATTTTCCGCTATTCATTTTATCTCCTAGCTTACTTCAACTCAATTAATACTCTTCTCCCTTTTATCTATACTATTATTATTTATAACTATTTCTCTATTACCTATTCTCATTGCCTCTTTCTCTTCTCTTCTCATTTCAAACCACCATTAAATACCCAAACCATATAAACACGACTATATCTACATATCCACCAAAATACTCGCTTACTACGCAAATACTCTCAATTACTAACCTTCGATATATTCAATATATTTTCCTTATTTCAATTTGGATTCTTTAATGGTAACTCTCATTGGATAATCAGACAACCTCAAATTATCAAGCCTACGCAACTTCAGGTTATGGACATCATACTTTAATTCCGACTTCAGGTATTGCAAGTAGTATTGTAAGTGCAATGGGATGGGTCAATTTTGCTTCTCAAAATTTGCTGGAATAACTTCCCAGCCAATGACTTATATTGTTGCTTTAATTTTGTACGTAATAGGACATATCATTATCTTCTGGTTCTCCTGAGGTGTGGTAATACAAACTAGCAGCCACCAGTTGGATAGTCAAAATAAGTTTGCCAACTTGGAAGAGTTTATAAGTTACTCATAATGATCCCATCATAGCGAAGGGTTATCATACCAAATACAGCACATCCGAAATAGATGTTCATTTTCAATAAATGAGGATACTGAAACCACCATTTTGTTAATTTTGGAGTGACTTCTTCCAAGGTAAGATCTATTTTTTCATCCATATTGAGATTTACGTCTGAAACGAGGACCTTAACATTATCGTTTTGTTGCTCATTATCTCTTTTCATCTTAGATACTAATAAACAGAAATAATAATTTCAAAAGAGTAATTAGAGCTCTAAATATACCTTTAAGGAATGTAGCTGTTAATATTGTTAATTACCCCAGCTAGCAATGTGTTAGGAGTCAAGCCTTGCGGTGATGAAATAAGATATTGAGGGGGATTCTAAACGTCAGTAATCAAGCATGTACGACAGATTCTAGTGGCGTATACGTTAAGAACAATAAAAAGAAAAGTCGTATACGTACACATAGAGATGTGGAGAAAGACTAACTCTTCTTCTCGGTATCATAGAGATAACATTGGCGAAGAATAATTCTTCTCCCCACTAAAATTAACATAAAGTTCAAATGTGACTGCAAATTAATTCCAATATTTTTCAATATTCCTCATATCAAACCAGCAGACAACAAGAAGTTTAGCTTCCGATGATAATTATTCAAGGCCATTTAAGATGATTCTAAATAATTTGAAATAGAGTTCGGACTATCTGCCTTCTGGCAAAGGGCAAAATACTATACAAATTTCCCAAATATT